CACTACCCATTTTCTGGCAAGTTGCTCTGAGGTTGCACCAGCTTGCTGCTGTAGTTCCACTCATCTCGACATTACTTTCATGTCTGCTTTCCGCTGGAAGATTTGGCTCGCTGCTGGTAGCTGATATGTCCACCAGGGCACGGAGTAGCATTGTTTGACTCCCAAAAAACATGTTTGGACTTGTCTTTGGGTTGGTCCATGGACCATGATGACCCCACTGGGTTGGTCCATGGACCCTGATGACCCCACTGGGTTGGTCCATGGACGCTGATGACCCCACTGGGTTGGTCCATGGACCCTGATGACCCCACTGGGTTGGTCCGTGGACCCTGATGTCCCCATTGAAATTGTTGAAAAGGTAAAGTCTCAAGACTCTCAACCTTTCTATTGGAAATTGGTGTGTCACCTTGGTCACTGGACTTCCAAGTGTGACCCTTTTTCAGACGGGGCCAATTCAGAGCTCTTGTTTTTGCAGTGGGTAAGTTACGATCTATCTATGTCGTCATTTAAAGTATGCATTGATGTAGCTGGTCTTCAGTTACTTTTCCATTGACGCTACTTTTCCATGCATACCCCAGTATTTGGGGGTCTTCCCTCTTGTTGTCCTCTCATTTATTTGCTTCCTTCATCACAAAAATCATTGAAAAATGAACATTATTCTGTTTTTGAAGCACCATGAACCATTCAAGTGCGTACCTGCCTCGTGGCTAATGGTAACTGTCGATAAATAGGTAGAGAGTTCAAAGCACACTAGAGACAATGACATTCTGGGCTACTCCACTTTCATTTAAGGGAACAAAAGAAAAAGAGGAGCCCTTCCACTGCTACCACCTGTGGAGGGGTTCTGTTACCTTTTATCATCGCCCACCTTCCGAATCCAACGACTGGTGTACAGATGTGATATACATATGCACAACGATTGTGTGCCTCAGTGGTCTAGGTACCTGATGTACATTGGTATGTGACCGAAGGGCCCTCATTCACGTGCTTTGTCCTTGCATGGCTGGACAGACGTGTGTAGGTATGTTTGGTATAGAAAGTTTTTCTCCAACAGTCTTCTCACTGTTTGGCTGTCTACCAAACTGTTCAAGTACTTGATTTTGACGATGGATGTGTCGCTGCCCTTCTCGTTAAATGGGGGATAGGAGTACCAGGACAGTAGAAGCAAGGAAAGGGGCCAGTTCATGATGATATGATACGATGATGATGATGATGAGGAGGAGGAGGAGGAGGAGGAGGGAGGAGGTGACAGAAGGAAGGGAAGGAGGAGTATAGAGGGAGGAGAAGGATGGAGGTGGTGGAGAAAGATGAAGGGGGGTTTTCTGTGGTGGGTAGTCATCCAGATTTGACGTGCTTTATGCATTAGTCCATTTAGTTGTTCCAATCCACAAAGCGTGGTTTGTTCCATCTTGTGATATATTATATCGCAAAGGCCTGTTGTATGAGCTTGTTCTCACTCGATAATTGCGACATTAATGACGGTCACCAATCCTGTCAGGAGGATCGATGGAAGTTCATCCCTTGGCTCTCTCTCTCTCATACGCCATCTTACAAGGAGAGTGAGTGTTAGGGGCCCACGGGGCAATGATTGTGCTAGAGCAGTCTGAGTGGGGTATATGTTCAAATCATGTTCATTCTGCGGTGCTTTTCTTGCGGGAATTCTATGCTGCTGCTCCTAGCCTCACAAAGAAGATCTCGATGAGGGATATGTGGCCCAGTGAATTAAATCTATTATTATAATTTATTAACATGCCGGAGAGTCAAGTGGCCACCATGTTATTTTTTATCCCTGGCTCTCTGGTAGTGATTCAACTTTATCGCCTTGGCAGAGGCACCAGTGTAGTCTAAGTGGAACTTGACCCTCAGTGCAGCTGCTATCTACAGATTATACACCCATCAGCCAAGCAGAGCTGCTATGGTTGGCTGCTGGTTTGTTGCAATTGTTCACCTTTCAGTGCATCCAGTTTGGAGGGATTATCTGAGGGCGTACTCACCGGGGCAATTTTTCGATGGATCTTTGGATGTAATTGTGGTCAGGTGCATCCCAGAAAGTCCTGGTGTGAGTATGCCCTGAAGGGCCTGAACCCCTTATAGCTGAACCGTTTATAGCTGAATAAAAAGGTCCAATGTTGCTCCTTTGCCTTAGGTTTATGGCCTTCCCCTGAAAAGGCTGAACCCAATGTGCCCTAATCATGAATGTATACAAGTTGTGTATCAGTCAGATAATCATGACGAGGGCGTGTTTCACGTTCGGAGGAAGACAGTACCCTTGTTGTATCTGGTGATAATGTGCGACTGTGTACGCCTGAACACAGTGCACGTTCATGTCAGTGCTTGCTGAGTTGAAGAGAAGGGAACAAGGTGAATCGTGCCCAATCAGTGATCTATAACTAATCTGACGGTTATTCGTTTTTGGTAGAAATCTTTTGTTATTTTTCCGCTTTGGCAAGGAAAAATCCTTCCGTTTTGGGCATTGGGAATTGGATCTTTGTTAATCAGATGAATAGCACATGTAATATGCAGTGTAGCACCCTGGCAATTATATCGACGATTTTGATACCGCAGTCATCGTATGGAGCGTACAATTCAAACTGACCCCTTGTTAGTATTTGACACTTGTGCAGTCAGTTGACCATCAAGTTTCATAATATCGCAGTCGTTGAACTTGTGAGACAGGCCCCTCAAGTGCCAGGCGGATGCCCAAAGAAAACTCAAATGGCGTAAACCACTAGTACCTTTGCCGAGTGGGAAAATAGTGGGCCTCGGGTGGGCCTCTGACCTTTTAGAAGGCCGAAACGAAACAACGGCCGCCGATCAGATCTATCAATGGCAGCCGTCGTCGGGCCGGGCCTCCAATTTTTTAGGAGTTTGGGAAAACTGCCAGTTCCCCTATTTTCCCAACACTGGCGGATAGTGGTTTAACTGAGATCACGAAGAAAGTAGCAGAACGCCTACACATTAGACTTCTCCAAAAGCAACAGCTTTCCAAGATTCTTGGCAGTTCATTAGAGCTGTACATGCTTTTTTCTTTAGAGTACGTGACTTTTTCCAAACGGACGCTGATCTACTGCAGCTTTACAGTCTTTGTGTCCAAAAGTGCTAAAGAAGAAAGCCAATGTAGTGCAGCTCTAGAGCCCTTGGGCGTAACAGTCTTTGTGCCCAAAAGTAGTAGCAGATTCTAAAGAAGAAGCCAATCTAGTGCAGCTCTAGAGTCCTTGTGCCCAAAAGGAACAGTTCATGCTAAACAAGAAAACCAATCCATTGAAAGTTGAAACGCTTTGCGCCCAAAAGTAGTAGTTGATGTTGTGATACTCTGAAGTATGCCGAGAGAATGGCTGCATTTGTAATGTGTCTGGGTCCACTGTCAAAGTAAATGCCCACTCATTCAGAAAGTCAAACCTGAAACAATGACTCATACACTGAGTCTCGAACAGAAGAAGGCATGTCTATGGTGGTGTTAGCTGAATAGTAGACATCTGGCAGTCCTCCAGGACATCCATTAAAGCACGACTACACGGCCCCAGCGTTGCAGTCCGAAACTTTTTGCCACATGAAAACGGGCATGAAACGTCAATTTCGTCGTCAAACACTGGACCTGCCGTTGATAAATTGGATCGGCGGTGGCGTTTTCATTTCGCACTTCCTGAATTCAAGGTGTCAGGCCTGCGGCCCCAGGTGGCCATGTACTGGTGCTTTCACCTTGGAACGATACAGAGAATAATTAGCATGGCCCCTGTGCAAGGATGACACGCATAAATCGAGAAATGGTCCAAATTGGCAAATTAATAAATTATATATATGTAATAAAAAAATAGACATCAGGCAGTTTTGCCAACGAGTTGAGAGATGGACCCTTCCGCATTCAATCAGTTCAAGCCTTCAAGGCTTCAAGCATTGAGGTTGTTTTCTGTCAGTCCCATTACCGTAGGACTTTTTTTTTTTTTTTTTTTTATAGCAACCCAAGTGGCTGCTAGGGGTGCTGATAAGAGCATACACCCCTAGCACCATCGGGGAGGCTCCATCTATTGGTGGGGAGCGACACCAGCTGGAAACCGGGTCCAGCATCGACCACATGGCATTCGGGTAATTACAGCTGTACATTTTACAGAGTTATGGTTGCTGTGAGGTCGAAGAGCCTGTTTGTTTATTGCTTGAGCGTGCTGCAGTATATCTGGAGTTACGTGGGKGGGTGGGCAGGGGCTGGGGGGATTAAGGGGGCAGAAGAAATAGTCCAATAGTGGGTGTCCCCTTTGGATCTGTTCTCCCCTCGCCTTTGAATACTGCACTGAGCCACGTGCCAGGGGGATGATGCTGTGGGCTCTCATTCAAAGAATGTGGAATCAAAATTATGGAGAAAGTTGAATAAACTGAAAAGGGGTCAGACTACGTAGAAGGCTAAGAAGAAAAGGACTAGGAATTGTGATTGGCGATTGGTTACACTTACTTTTTCTTTTCTTTTTTCTTATGAAGGCAGTAGCGCCTAACGTTATTGGATGTATTTGATGAATTTTGAATGTTTTTTTATCCTAGCAGGATTCAAACTCATGACCTGTTTACTCACAGTTAGACGTGTGTACCATTCAGCCACATGGGCTGGGTACAATGGGTTGCTTCAGCCACATGGGCTGGGTACAATTGGTTTCATTACCAGAACTCGAACTCATGAGGCGTTGAATAACAGCTGCATGCATGTACCGTTCAGCCACATGCGCTGGGTAGGTTGCGCTTCATTTTTCCTTTGTTTTTTATATGACATGACAGACCACGGATCAGATATGAAACAGATCATAACAGATACCACACTTGATCTTTAGCGAAATGGCCCAGAAAGGTATGGGTTGTGGGGCATTCGTACTCTTGTGGGTTCAGTTCTGAGGGTAGTACATATGTCGCAATGCAGGCAGAAGAGGAACTTAGGATGATGCAGATGCATGACGCAATGAGACACACACACTACGTAAAACGAGGCTTCTAGTGTGGGTGTGATGCCACTGGAAAAGCAGTTTACGATCAGCAAAAAGGGAATGTATAAGGTGACAGGTGAGAGGTACGTTGCTTATCTCTCCCCTTGTTCCACTGTCTCCTTTTTGCTTCTGTCTGTGTCTGTGTCTGTGTCTGTGTCTGTGTTTGTCTCTGTCTCTGTCTTTGATTGTCTCTGTGACTGTGTTTCTCCATGATCCTCTATCTGACTCTCGTTCTAGCACTCTCCACGTATATGGTACAGTGTGAAGTCACCCCAATTTTTTCTGGAGGCCATCTAAACCAACAGTCGCTCCAGTGGTTGAGCCTGAAACCAGTGGGATCATGGAAAATGGAAAACTAAAGCCTGGTAGCAAGGTTGGATCAAATGGCCACACACAATATACGCAAAAACTGCATACCACTGCGGGGTCAGGCATGCAGATGAACGCTCTCACCTGAGGCTTTCAAAACCTCTATCAGCAGGTAAACGCTCGCACTGCTGCCAGCAATGGCTTAGAACCTCGAAAACACAATCTGATGTCAGAGTTCCTCTCTCTCTCTCTCTCTCTCTCTCTCTCTCTCTCTCTCTCTCTCTCTCCCCCCCCCCCCCCCCCCCCCCCCC